AATTCATTGCTTCACAATGAACTGTGCAGGCACATGATTTTGCATTATATGTATATAATTTGTTTCCCTTTACTGTATCATTGTCAGAGTTGTTTAACAGTGTGCAAGGATGTGCTGCGGGTTTCTGTAGGAGACAGTGATTTCAGAGACCACGTACTGCAGCATGTTGCTTCTGTCCTGCAGACAGGTGAATAAGTCTTAAGTCTTTATGCTGATGTATGACCTAGTGATTGTATTATAAACTGACAGATTTGTGGGTTTATTCAAGATATAATTACATGTTTGACCACTTTCCCACAAAAGTTTACAAGAGAGTGCTGCATCAGCAGTGTTTCCCCTGCCATTATATTAGGGGTGCGGCCCGCCCTTTAACTTGAAGACATTGCGGCAGAAATATAGGCTATTACTTACTATTGTTCAGTAGAATGTATGTAATAGGCTACTACTATGCTAAAACACAGAATTTGGTAACAATAAAACATAAGGTTGGAAAAAATAAAACATTTCATAGGGCCCTAAACATGTAATTTGTGTTAAACTTTTAATAAATTGATGTTAAATTGTTTAAGTTTCAGGATTTTAATTAATTATTAGACACGCTTTTTGATTAATAAAATTTTATTTAACCATTAAAAAGGAGTCCAGCAAAATTTAAACGGGGAAAAAAGGAATCGATTTTAAAAATGAACATAACTGCTTTAAAATTTGCGCTTTTAGTATGTCTGTGTGTTATGTTGTAGAGCAAAACGTCCGATTATCGTCAATTTATATTTACCACAGACCTTGTTTTATTCATAAATTGAAAAACCCCATTATATAAACCCATAGGAAAATCTCGAGGGAACCCATGGCGAATTAGTCTTCCAGGTATTGATGTCTTAGCTGCAGCACTGTATAGCGTAATGCTTTTATAACAAATGTTCTGTATGTGTGTTCATTTAGAGAAAGGATACGTGTGCATCCCTCCTGTGCTCGCTCTGCTTACTGAGGTGGCACAGGCCTGCCTTTCCCATAAGCCTGAGGAAGATCAGGAAGATCAGGAAGATCGAACATCCCTCACTATCCGCATTTTGACCAACATCTTCCAGAAAGTTGTGGAGATCATAGCACATCGTCTGCGTAAAGACAAGGAAGAGGGGCAGGAGGTGAGGTGTTAGTGCCTTCCTCAAATACACTTTCCATTTCCAGATGTTTCTGAATGTGTTTGACAAACGTGTGTGCACGTGTACATATTTAAACTCAATTTAGTCTTGTTAAAATTTGACTGACATTTCTGCCTGACGACATTTTATTCTGACACTTTATTTTAAAAAGCCTTTCTTTATGTATCTTTAGTTGTGTTGCTCTTCTGAAGAAGCTCTCTATGACTTCTTGCTGGTGACTAAGTTTACAACTGAGAGGTCAGAGTTCATCACAGGAGTCTTCTCATCACTCTGTGCAGCAGTTATTATTGATATCAGCCGCACCTTGCAGAAGGTAAATCTGCTAATTGTTTAGTTTATTGTGCTGTTTGATGTTTGTGGCATTTCTCCTTTCTTTTTAATTGAAAGACTTGTTGAGCTCAAAGCATTTCTTTTACTCAGATGTCGTCTTTAAATGAGTTATGTAAATAAGAAATATTTTGTTTTTGAGACAGACGTTTTTGATGTTTCTTCATGCAGATCTCTCATGTGGAAGAGGTGTTGACTCCAGAGACGGTTAATGACCTTCCACCTCTCTCGAACACCATACTCAAAGTAATGCTCAGATCACCTGCTGTTACCAGGTAACATTAAACACCAGCTAGAACTAAAAGCCTATGTTCATACTTAAATTGAACAATTCTAATCATTTTCTGGTATGTTCTAGGTTTTTTCTATCTGAAATGAGCTCCTCCATAGAGTCAGAGGCCATCGATAGTATCACACAGTGGGCTGCAGTTACACACATTCTGACCATCATCAAACAATGTGAGTTTTTGTTAATAATTTTAGTTGTCGTTAAGGCCCGTTCACACCAATAAAGATAATTATTATTTCTGCAGTTTAGCGCCATCTGCTGTCAGAGAGTGAAAGTGCGCTTTCATCCAGAGCATCTCTCATATGTTCCGCCATGTGCTTCTCATCCACGCTTATTTACATCAGAGTGCGTATGCCTCTTTCACGCAGCATACAGCGGTTTTGTGCATTTTGACTAGTTGATGGGAAAAGTATTCTTAAAATGCATTCAAAATTCTGAATAACTTGTAATATATAATTATTCACGGTATTTAGAAGAGCCCACGATAACAATATCGTGCATATTCATTACCGTGATATACCGCATCACCGAATACCGGCACAAGTCTAATAACAAGTATATTAGCATCTGCACCAACAGACCATAACATCGTTTACTATATATGCACACTGCAGATATGTCATCTGCCACTTAAAATACTCAAGCTCTGACTATCATTCGTCAACTGGACAAAATAGAGAATGATTCCAATCATATTGTTCCTCTGTGTTGTTATCATTGTAATTGTGGTGTGGCCTTCCCTATTCTCACGAAATTATAACGATTGTTAAAACTTCACAGTTATAGTTATCACCATTGGTGTGAATGGGCCTTTATTTAGTTCCATCACCTGAATGCTTGATAGTAAGAATTTGAGGAATTTCTAAATTATTCTACTGAACACATTCTCAAAGTTTTCATTTCGCATGTGGAGCCTAAAGCATGTAACAAGTCCAGTGGAGTTGGACTTGAAGTAACTTGAGTGATATGAAGTGAAAAAAGAGACTGAGATTCATTTTGTTTCTTTTATAAAATCCTCTGAATACATGATTGTTTTTACCCTTCTGCTCTGTTCATTACAGCTGATGCATTTATTGTGGAGTTGAAGGAAATTGCTTTGTCTGTACGCAGACAAATACAGAACTATTACAACATCACTGCTGAAAACTCTGACAATATACAGAGGTAAAAGATTTAGATGTCATATTGTGAAAGCATGCTGTCTGAGTCCTATATACAATAATAGCTGTACAACTGTTCATGTTGTTTTGCTCTGTCTCTCAATCTTAGGACCATCTATGAATCCACTGTCAGGATGCTGATTGATATCCTAAATCAATGCCAACAATCAAACAGTTAAATGGGCAAGCTAATAGTTTCGAGCTTCTGCATACTCCCACAAAATCCTTTATTTCTTATTTTGTACTCTCAGCTGTATACTTACTGTCTTGGATGTTTTTTTGTTTTCACTCTATATTACAAGAACATTCACTTTATAAACAAAACTTCCATAAAACTTTGTCTTGGTTCATTGGAATCACTATTCATTTTCTTTTGTACAGTTTCAAATGCAACAGTGTTTCCATTGCATATAACTGTAGGTTATAATCTTATCAATCTTTGCAATTCTATTTTTTCTCTCCATTTTTTAAGACATTTTAGTGAATCTGGTTTACCTTAAGACGATACTTCTGTTTAAGGTGTCTTTGATGAAATACGTCCCTCCTATTTACCTTTTCTGCTTTATACTTAGATCCAAATACTGGGGTGTGATGTGTTGTTATACTTAAGACTTTTCCCTATTAAACCGTAGAAATGTACAGACAATAATTGCTAAATGTACTCTGAGATATGAATATATAATTGAATATTTTTTCACCGTGTCACAGTTTAAAATCATGGTGTGAAATAAAGAAAAAGCACATGAGATTCAGACTGATTTGGAAGAAAGCGGTGTTGCTTATAACTTAAAGTGAAGTGTGCCCATAACCATTCAGTCTTCACTATCAGTCCAGAGAAGAAGTGCGGTCCATCGCTGCAAACGAAATACACCTGACCGTACAGAAGTCTTAAAGTTAGTTCACCCAAAAATTAAAATTCTGTCATTAATTACTCACCCTCATGTCGTTTCAAACCCGTAAGACCTTCGTTCATCTTCGGAACACAAATTAAGATATTTTTGATGGAATCTGAGAGCTGTCTGACCCTCCATAGACAGCAACGCAACTGAAATGTTCAGTCAGCTGTGCCATGCCGGTGTAGTGCCGAAATTTGCACCCTGCCAAATTATGCACCCCGTAGTATTGGTAGGTTTAGGAGTAGGTGTGGGGAGGGGTTAGGATTAGGGGTGGGGGTTGGGATTAGGCAATCAGGTAGCGACTTCAACGAGGGGGTGCATAATCTGGCAGGGGTGCAGAATTCGGCACAACACCGAATCTGTTTCCTACGTTGTTGTGATTTGATCTGAACGAAAACAGCCTATCCGTGTGACGCAGCTGACGCAGAACAGCATACGCTGTTTATGGCGCTACAGGGTGACGCAGAGGAGACGAATTGTTGAATAAAGTGTTTTTTTGTTTGTTTTTTTTGCACACAAAAGTTGCCTTGCTGGCTATGCAGGGTCAGACAGCTCTCAGATTCCATCAAAAATATATTAATTTGTGTTCCGAAGATGAACGAAGGTCTTACGGGTTTGAAACGACATGAGGGTGAGTAATTAGTGACAGAATTTTCATTTTTGGGTGAACTAACCCTTTAAAACACGCACTTTTGTTTTTTAATTAAACTTCAATAAACACAGTCAAAGTACAGTTAGGACTACAATAATACACATGAAAACAAAACACACACACAAAAAAATACTAAATATGTATAAAAAATACAAATACAGCCAGGGGGATGGGCTAAACATCATGTAAATGTGTTAAAGGACTTACAAATGGAGAAAGTCTTAATTGCTTTCTTATTATGTGAATAAAAATTGTCTTAACATACATTTGAATTTCTTTTTCAAGAACCAAAAATAAAGGATTGGTTTTACTGTACTTACACTTATACACTACTGTGCTTATACTTACACTTTTATTTGAGGGGATATTAGTGAAACCAAATAAAACATGTTCTAAGCACAAAGGAAAAGTGGGGTCAATGTTATCAATTATAAATCTAATCAAATCTTTCTAGTCTTGAAACACGCACGTGGAGAAAGCGCACGTACTCGTGACGTCATCGGTCGAGGCGGGGCGCTGACCGTGGTGCTGAACGCGCCTCGCGCATCTCAGAGTTGAGTACAGGATACTGAGTACCAGAGCTTCACTTATCTCACTATCCTCCATCTCAGTCGCTTCTGCCCAACTTCCGCTCTAATCACATCACCCCCTGAAACGCGAGAGCCGCTATGCCGAATTAACGAGAGCTGTTTGGGCTCGACGGGAGGATGGCTTGTGTGCGCGCGCTGCTCCTCGCCTTGCTGTCTGTCCACGCGCTCGCAGCTGCATCCGCGGACAGGAGACTCGGTAAGTTAGTTTAACACGACGCCCCAGCAAGTGTGTGATGTTTGTCGCTCTTACCTTTGAAATAAGCCAACTTGTGTTTGTGTATGTGTGTTTTCCTCGAGTGCAATAATGAGGTTAATCACAACGGCGGGTTGGCGCGCAGAGTTTGATGTTTTTTATGCAAATTAGCGGTTCGTTTGTAAATGTGTTGACATAAAGTCCTTCACCCTTAAGTTGTGAGGTTTTACAGCCCATTAGTGATTTGATTCTGGGTCACATGTACCTCAATCAACATCCTTGCTGCTCCTGGAGCAATTTCCCCATCAACCAATCATATTTCAGGGATAGGATATATAAATGGATTATACACTATCAATTTATAATTTACTTACTGCACTCTCAAAAAATAAAGGGTTTATGGTAGTATTTTAAGGGCACATAATACTATTCAAAGGTATAGTATGCACCTGTTACTGGATGCATGTTTCTTTTTTAAGGGTGTATTCACACCTGTCTTGTTTGGTTCGATTGAATCAAACTCAAGTTCAGTTCCCCCCTTGGTGCGGATCTTTTTGGCAGGTGTGAATACAGCAATCGCACTCGAGTGTGTACCAAACAACCACATCGAGACCCAGCTGAAGAGGTGGTCTCGGTCCAGTTCCAAACGAACTCTGGTACGGTTGAATGGATGAAGCAATGACCTTAGGGCGCATGTGGTTTTGTTTACAATTTCTAGTTCACTTGCAAAAAGGGCAGTGTGAAAGCAAACCACACCAAACAACCAAAAAAAATAAAAAATCAACATTGTATTTGGTCCGGACCAAAGCAAGTGAACTATTGGACTTTCCTGGTGTGAATACACCCTAAGTTAGGCAGATCAACCATAACTCCTTCAAAAACAGCCAGAAACCTTGGAGTTATGATTGATGATCAGCTGACTTTCTCAGACCACACTGCTAAAACTGCCCGGTCCTGCAGATTTGCTTTATTCAACATCAAGAAGATCAGGACCTTTCTTTCAGAACATGCAACACAACTCCTTGTTCAAGCTCTTGTTCTGTCCAGGCTGGACTATTGCAATGCTCTCTTGGCAGGTCTTCCAGCCACTTCTATCAAACCTCTACAATTAATCCAAAATGCTGCTGCAAGATTAATCTTTAATGAGCCGAAAAGAATGCACGTAAAACCTCTGTTCATCAAATTGCACTGGCTAACTTTAGCTGCTCGCCCATTGTCCTCATTTGTAAGTCGCTTTGGATAAAAGCGTCTGCTAAATGAATAAATGTAAATGTAATGTGAGGTACTGTCCCAGTGATGAGCTGAAGGTGCAGTTTTTGCACATTTCTGACAGTGTGTTTTAGTGGTAGATAGTGATAGCTGGAGCTATGGTAGGATTGTTGTTCCAGGACCTTAAAAATCTAACATGTAACAAGTAACATGTTCTGGTCCTCAAAAGGAAAAAGGGTTCATATCTGTGTTTTAGGACAGTTACCTCGGAGCCTTATTTCCTTGAGCATGCAGAGCACATAGGTTGCTAGACAAATGGAAGATAGTTCTAGTGCCCCTCACTGACAATGGATTACATAATCGCGTTACGGTTCGTTAAAGCATCTTGGCAGTCTTCATCTTTCAAAGGCACAGACCGAGAGCGAGAGCCAGCCTCAGCTGGGAAGGACCCGGCTCGAGCTGTAAACAAGCTTCATGAACCGGTGCATTCACACATGGATAGTGAGGGAGCTTTGATCATTGAAGACATGAATGACTGCAAACTTTATTAAAGACTGGAGCCTTCAAAGACTTGGGCTGGTTTGTCTGTGACAATTCCCAACACATGCCATGTGCATCGAAATCTTGTTCTTGGTCAGAGCTGTGGCGTAGCGGGTAGTGCAATAATGTGCTCACTAGAATGCAGGTTTGAATCTGGCTTGTGTCATGTTAAGATCGCATTCCCAGTCGCTCCCTCTCACCAGCAGTCTTTTTATGGACTTATTCACTTGATCATGTGGATATGTTTTAGTTATTTTGTGAGCATTTTAAATATTCTGTCAGGGCTGATTTATATTACATCCGTTATTCTGAGAGTTGAATTCATTGTTTGCAATCTAAAAGCCAAATCACACTAGGCTTGTAATGCTAGTTCTAAAGTTTTCTCTAGAATGCACAATGTGTTACTAAATGATTTGCAAACACTCAGCTGGGTTTGCACAGGATCATTGTTGTTAAGTAAGCTGTGGTTTGGGGAACAGTGCATCATGGGAAGAGTACTTAGAAGCAGGCAATCTCTGTGACTGGCATATGAGGTTGGCAAAGGCTGGGATGAGTGAGTTCTGTGAAGCCCTGATGAATAGAGCAGTTAAGCATCTCGAAACAGTCTGTTGGAGGCTTATATATCACTGCATTCAGACTGATTCTGGGTCTCCAACTTTCCCCAGCTTTCTTTTTTCTCAGTTTTTTGATCGTTCTGTATGAAAATATCTGGTAACACCATAAAGCCTGATGAAGTCTGTATGTATTTCAAATGAATTATTAATTGTAAATTATAATAATATATATATTAGGGGTGCAACGGTTCTCGGTAATAAAATCGAACCGTATGGTTCTCCACACACGGTTCGGCATGCACTAGGACCGCGGTTCAACTTAAATCTGACAATGCATCTGTAATATGGTCTGTTAGAGTTCGGCTAATGCATGTTTCTGTTGATGGATACAAATTCTGGCTTCCCAATACATTACAACAAGGGCGATGAGAGAAAAAAAACCAATACGTGGACAAACCAGTCACTCTTTGTTCAATGCGAGTGCTTTATGCTGGAATAACTTTCATTAATGCCATCATCACGTGTTTATTTGACAATATAGTTTTTTCCCTAAACATAGCACATACCGAACAGTACCGAAACCGTGACTCTAAAACCGCGACAAACCGAACCGTGAGTAAGTTGAACCGTTGCACCCCTAATATATAAGTCTCTTTGTGTATTATGTTTACGTCATCTAATGAACATGATATAGGAGATGGTAATTTCCCTGCATTCTCTTCAGCAGCTCCATGAACTTCCTGTGAGGAGATGGGGAGCGTGGGAGATGCTGCTCATCTCAAATGTACAGGAAGCAGCAGAGGTTCAAACTGAGCTTTTTTAACAGAGCAGATTATTTATGGCTCACTTAGAATCTCTGATGCTTCCTGTACATTTGAGGTGAACAATATCGCCCACGCCTGACACACCTATGCTTTGAGAGACCAATCTACTTTGAGTGTAACTAAACGAGCCAATGCACATTGGCATGCGATGATTGCATCCAGCTGCCGCTGATCACAGCGTGAGCATAAAAAGGCAGCAAGTGCAACGCATACCAGCTTTTTGCTTCAGAGCCGAGCGACAACATCGTTCTGCTCCAGCCAGTGTCTATGAGTTTGACGCGTTCTTGGAAGCTTTCGGCCATCTCCCCTGTGTGCCTCAGCACATAAAAGAGCATTTCCCTGAAAGAGCCAATTTCTCTAAAAGAGCTCACACGGGTGCGTCTTTGTAAAGACGACTGATCGTATTTTTAAAGATGCCATTTCACCCGTGCGTTTCTGGATGTGGTCGTTACCTGGCGCCGGGTGATGGTCACGATCGCTGCCTCACGTGTCTGGGCATTAAACACGCTGAGGTGGCGTTCGTGGATGAGTCATGTTCCCATTGCGGGAAGATGACCATCTCGGAACTGTGGACCAGGCTTCGTTACCTCCAAGGGGGCAGAGCTCCGTTGCCTCTGCCGTGATCTAGAGTTCGTTCTGGCGGCTGCCAGGCAAGGACTACTTCTGGCAGTAGCACGGGTGGTTTGAGGGTAACAGTGGTATCTAGTGCTCGTCCTGGCGGCTGCCGGGCGAGGGCTACTTCCGGCAGTAGCACGGGTGGTTTGAGGGTTACAGTGGTGGCAAACCCCTCAGGGAACCAACCCTCGGGGGCCCACCACTCCTCTAGTGCTTCAGATCAAGTCGAGCGGCCAAAAGAACGCGTTGGGCTCTCTTCAAAGAGCGTACCAGCGGTATCCTGCGGTGCTCCTCCTGACGACCGGATGTCGATCACTGCATCGGAGGGAGATCTTTCTGGAGAGGAAGATTTGGCTGCGCTGCCGCCCTCCGGGACGGTGGCAATGCCTGAATCGGATCCAGAGATGTCGGCTATGCTTTCCCGGGCCACCGAGAGGGTAGGGCTCGAGTGGAAACCTCCACTGCGTCCCGAGCCCTCAAGGTTGGATAATTGGTTTCTCGGGGTGGCTTGAACTGGTTCTCAGCACCCCGCCCCGGTGCCTTTCTTCCCGGAGGTGCATGAGGAGCTCACCAGGTCGTGGATGGCACCTTTTACTGCCAGAAACCTGCCTGCTGGTTCCTCCTCCCTCACCACCCTCGACGGTGGTGCAGTGAGGGGATATACGGCGATCCCCCCGGTGGAGCGGTCGGTAGCGATGCAGTTGTGTCCTAAGACCGCCTCCTCCTAGCGGGGAAACCCGTCGCTCCCCTCCCGGGCCTGTAGGTATTCGTCTGGTCTGACCGGCGGTGCTTATATCCGCGAATTTTCTGGGTCGTGCGATGTCCACGCTTGTGGTCCAGGAGCGCCATGTCTGGCTGTGTCTGGCCGACATGAGGGACGCCGACAAGGTACGGTTCCTCAACGCCCCTGTGTCCCAGACTGGCCTCTTCTGCGATGCCGTCGAGAGCTTTGCCCAGCAGTTCTTGGCTGTACAGAAGCAGACTGAGGTGATTCGACACATCCTGCCCCGGCGGGCAGCTGCTGCCTCCACCCATCCGCCAGCCACAGCGCCCCAGCCTGCTCATCGCCAAGGGCGGCCCCCCGCTCCCGCGCCGCATCCGCAGCAGCCTCCAGCCAAGCAGCGCCATAGAGCCGGTTGTAGGCAGGCCTCCCCGCCCGTCCAGGCCCCTGTCAAACCTGGCGGTAAGCGGAGGAGCAAACGGTTCTGAGACGGGTGACCCAGAGATGGAGGGATCTGCTCTTTGGGAGATGGTGAACGCA